TTATCATTATCATTATCATTATCATTATCATTATCATTATCATTATCATTATCATTATCATTATCATTATCATTATCATTATCATTATCATTATCATTATCATTATCATTATCATTATCATTATCATTATCATTATCATTATCATTATCATTATCATTATCATTATCATTATCATTATCATTATCATTATTATCATTATCATTATTATCATTATTATTATTATTATTATTTATGGTGTAAATATAGCTGGGTAGGTAGACCGGGTCTGACCTGGACTCGGACTCTACACGTAGTAAATACACACAACCAGAACACAAAATATGACCTAGACCAAGAGAAAATCCTCAGTCCGAGTTATATTTCTTACTCTGTCTCAAGAGTGTACTTTTTAGTGAGATAAAACTTGGATCCCCTCCTCTATCCATAATTAACATATTTATAGAGCAGAGTGTGTGACCTTCTCCTGTTCATCCGTAGACAAAATAGGAAACAAGTAGGAAGGTCACTGTAGTGAATGGAAGCACTTTATAATCAATAATTTTAATAGCTACAAGCTAAGACACTATTCAATCAATGACTCTAAGGTAGATCTTCCCTAGCCAATCAACCCTGCAAGATGACAAGCATTCGTTTCACTGTATATCTCGTGATGGATGAGCGGCGGGGTGGTCCCCTGGCCTATGATGCGGATCGTCATGCTTAGGAGATTGAGTAAATGTTAGCCAAATAGAATTATATGACCGGTTACCTTTTCTCAAAGGTCTCCCGGTCATTTCTTGAGCTCATGGCTGCCTTTTGGTCTTATATACAATCCTTCGTAGCATCTAGTGACATTTTGGCTATCGCCCAAAATGTGACCGGTCACTTTTTGAGAAAAATGACTGGTCAACTTTGGAGCCGTCTCTTTCGAAGAGTTTGTCTCGTTTCGTGATTGAGGAAAGTGAGTGGTCAACTTTTTGACCTGTCCCTTTTGGAAATTTGGGCCGAGTATAAGGATATACCCATCAAGAAGTCCTCCACTTACCAGCCTTATGAGGAAATAATCAAGGGCGGGAAGTATACTTGTTTTTGACCCGTAACTTTTTTAAACCTTCAAACCTTTCCCTTCACCTTCCTTTTTCCAAACCATAGAAATATCCCTTACCGAAAATGAGGTTTTGGGTATCCTTTCTTTCTTCTGACCTGGCACTTTGGGGCTCATCAGACCTGACACTTTGGGGATCATCAGACCTGTCACTTTGGAGTTTATCAGACCTGGCGCTTTGGGGTTCATCAGACCTCGCACTTTGGAGTTCATCAAACCTGGCACTTTGGAGTTTACCAGGTCTTCCTCTCTGACCTGTCACATTTATAACCATCAAGTCTTCCTCTCGGACCTGTCTTTTTTGAAATTATCAAGCCTTCCTCTCGGACCTGTCACTTTTGAAATTATCAAGCCTTCTTCTCGGACCTGTCACTTTTGAAATCATCAAGTCTTCCTCTCGAACCAGTCACTTTTGAAATCCTCAAGTCTTCCTCTCGGACCTGTCACTTTTGTAATCATCAAGTCTTCCTCTCGGATCTGTCACTTTTGAAATCATCAAGTCTTCCTCTCGGACTTGTCACTTTTGAAATCATCAAGTCTTCCTCTCGGACCTGTCTCTTTTGAAATCATCAAGTCTTCCTCTCAGACCTGTCACTTTTGAAATCATCTAGTCTTTCTCTTAGACTTGTCACTTTTGAATTATTGGGAAATCCAAATGTAAATTAAACTCTAAATAATTAACCAGTCTACTTTTCATTTTTTTTACACTTCTGCCATGTAAGTCCTCCTAGTCCTCCTAGAGTACCCGGTCCACACCCCTTCAAGAGCACATCCAGAGTCAGGGGGTCAAGTCACCCGGTTATATGATGCAAATCTCAGATGATAACTGGGTTAAGTCGCCCAAGGTTCCGGTCCAGGTCCCTGACAAAGAGGTTGGCCACTCATCTTTCAGGCCCGTCCCAAGAGTGGAAGGGTTCACATAAGAGTTCTCGGGAGGGTTCTACGAAAAAGAAGGCCGGCCCTCTTCAAATGGAAGGGTCACCAATTAAGGAGGCCTTCATGGTCCGGTCTCATTCCTTTGTGCCTGGTTGAACTTCTTGAATGTGTATGATTTCCTCTGGAAAATGTCCATGTCATGAAATGATACGGTTTCGCCCTTTGTTTGTTGAAATGTTGACAACGTGCCTGGCTGAAGTGAATTTTGAAAATGTCTCAGTTGAAATGTGTAGGTTGAATCCTTCCGGGCTTATAAAATCACCCGGTCTGCTTTGCTTACCTCAAATTTCTTCATCTGTAGAATGTGTCCAGGTTGAAATGTGGGTTTAAATTCTTCTTGGCTTATTCCTTCAATCGGTTTGCTTCAAGGTTGAAGCATAATAAACGTGTAGGGTGAGTTTATCCTGATCCAATCCCAAATGGTTTGGTCACAGTGTGTTATCGACTTGGTGAAGTTAGTCGGTTGGCCTTGCCCAAAATCCTGTCCAGGTGTCCGGTCTAATTTTGACCGGTCAATTTCAAAATTTCCCAAACTTGTCTGATTTCTTCAAATGCAACATTTTGAAATGTGACCGGTCAACTTTGAAAAAGTTGACCGGTCAACTCTGAAAATTTTTCTTTTGCCTCTTTTTTGCCAAATCAGGACTACTTCAAAAAGTGATCGGTCATATTTTTTACCATGCCTCTTTTAATTCTTATCCATCTCACCTGTGTGTTTTGCTCAACACCGACCTCAATCGAGTTTCAGATTAATATCTTGAAACAGCTTTTACTATAAGTCTTAACATCAAGAACTGACTCGTCTTCGGAAATTTTGACCATGTCCTATGATCGTGAACCCCCTCCAAGGTCCAGCCTTCTTCCAGGCAACACCCTTCTTCCAGGGCCCCTCTTCCGGGTTTTAAGTCCTTTAATGTGCCATCTTCTAATTATTAGGTTGACCTAGCCAACCTAATCTTCCCACATGGGGGTATGCCGGTGAGAACTAGCCCTCATCCAATCCTGCACGTCCATATTTTATGTGCTCGGAAATTCTAGTCTTCCCTAGACATTCCGATCCACAAAGGATGGCTCATATAAGACGGTAATATATTTTTTTGGCATCTTTTCTAACCCTTCCCGACCAAAGAGTCGGTAGGAATCCATGTAAGTATGGATGCAAATCCTCTTCTGGACCCAGCCTATCTCAAGGCGATACCTCAACATCAAGGCCCAAATCTCAAGGGTTTTTTTTTGTGTTTTTATTTTGCTATCAGCCTATGCAACGGTCCAGGTCCCAAACATCAAGACTGGTCCGTCTAAAGCAAGCTTAGCAATCTTAACCACATTTTCTCCATCCTCTCTTCTTTCCCTGATCCTATTCATGTTGGTGGATTCAAGTACTCGCCTATGGGTCTTCCTCAAGCCCAGTGACGAATACTTTATCCAATTCCCCTTTCAAGATCATCTCCCTGAGCACAACCCTCACATTTTGGCAATCTGTTGTGTTGTGAGAATCAGACTGGTGGTGAAACACCCTAATCCGTCCAGGTCTGCAACCCCATTCGGACTAAAGTATTTAACTTGGTAATCGTAATAATTTAAAACATTTCAAACAAACTTTATTAATCTGAATAATATTTTTCATAACATATACAGTACGGAGTAGTTAACAATATTGCGGAAGCGAATTTAATATTGACATTTCATAAATCATTTCAAAACTTGTCACATCCATCCCGACAATCTCGCCCCATCTGCCGCCAGGATCACATTAATCTTTCTATTTACCTGCATGTAGCAAATAAAACACACTACACGCTCAGCGGTGAAGCTGAGTAAGCATATCTAAAGCGTCGAAAATCCACATAAATTGAATCTCAATTCATAATCAACCATTTGATATCATGCACACAATATATGATTCAAACATTCATGCTGTCCTCAATATTTTATTCAAAGTCATTTGATATTCTATATCTCAAACAACGCTCTTAAATTATTCTTAATCTAAGGCCACATCATTTTATATTTAGCTCTTAGCTATTCCTAGTCTAAGGCAGTAATTCTAACCAGGCCCTTAAACTATAAATAGTTTAATGCAGAACACAAGAATTGATAATCCACCCTATGAGTCATGTGGATTACGTACCAACCGAACAGTGAACTGCCGGGTGGGTGATATCCGTTCTGGATCCCGTACGTACGTTTTAACACCGAAATATGAATTGGTCAAGGAGGTATATCTTAGAGTTCTTCTAGATATCCTTAATAATCATCATCATTATACAAGTGGGTATATCTTTAGAGTTCTTCTAGATATCCTTAACAACATTATTCATCAATTCATATTCTTAGCTCAACAATCATTTAATAATCCATAATATTCATCAAATGAACAATCTAATAACAATCAGCAGCCTAGCATCGAGTGTTAACACCCTAGCTTACCGTCATGCATCACATAAGATCCCTTTTAGTTGTTAAAACACCATCTTTATTCCAAGAAATCATCCTTTTATTAATCATAATGGTTTGGTATCAAAATATAGGATTCCATAACTCAAAAATCATGTTTTCTAAATAACAATTGATTAATATATGATAGGAAATTCAATTATTAGCTATTAGCTTCATTTTCTTCAATAGTGTAGGGAGACAGTCTACTGTCACTTCTGATAATCTACTGTCTGATGTTCAGAATGGGCTGATAATCGATTATCACACTCTGATAATCGATTATCAAACTTCAGAGAGGGNCTAGCATCGAGTGTTAACACCCTAGCTTACCGTCATGCATCACATAAGATCCCTTTTAGTTGTTAAAACACCATCTTTATTCCAAGAAATCATCCTTTTATTAATCATAATGGTTTGGTATCAAAATATAGGATTCCATAACTCAAAAATCATGTTTTCTAAATAACAATTGATTAATATATGATAGGAAATTCAATTATTAGCTATTAGCTTCATTTTCTTCAATAGTGTAGGGAGACAGTCTACTGTCACTTCTGATAATCTACTGTCTGATGTTCAGAATGGGCTGATAATCGATTATCACACTCTGATAATCGATTATCAAACTTCAGAGAGGGCTTACAGTCGATTATCACATTCTGATAATCGACTGTTGCTCAGATTTGTTACAAAAATCTGCAGAACGATGAATAATCGATTTTCAAGTTGATAATCGATTATCCATTGTCTTCTACCTCGAGCCAACTTGCGGAAATGTCACTTTTACTCACCAAACTTCAATTAAAGTATATAAAAATGTTCTCCAAGGTTCATGGACCATTTTAGCATCATTAATTCATAATTTTAACATCAATTTCATGGTTTATGATTCTTAGTTCTTCAAGCATGTCAAACACAAAACTCAACCAAATGACCATCTATGAATCGTAGAATCGATCTATATGAACATTCTAGTCATTAGATATATCTACGGGCTTACCTCGAAGCGTAAGGGAGGTTTTGAAGATTTTCCGGCGAAACTTCCGGCGACGAATACTCTCTGCTCCAGCGACCTCACACAAAAGTGACAACACCAGGGCACTTCTCTCTAAGCAAAGAACAATATAGATGCAAAATTGAATTGTTTTGGTGAAGAATTAAAGGAGTTGTGTTTTTTTATATAGTGGAGAAGAAGGGAAGAAGCCAACTCCTATTGCTTCTACGTAATTGGGATCGACTGATTGCACAGGAGGGGAACATGGCGCCGTTTCATTATTAGTTCCCTGATTGGGACTAATTTGGTCCCAGTCGGGGTACACTTTTTGGTCCAACTTTCTCTGAATTGAACTCTGTTTGCACCATTGCGATCGGACAGTCGAACTCTATTCAACGATATAATTTTTATATTTATTTGAAATACTTTTTCCGACAACATATTTTTGGGTGTTTGACTTTGACAGAGTCAAAATTGAAATAATTGATATACAAGTAGAATTACTCTCATATTCAATCAATATTATTAAATTTAAATATTTATTTCAATAAATCATTTTACAAAAGTTCGCATCTTTGACTTTTTCTCATTTTTATACAAATTACATATTTAAAATGTCATAACTGAACCTCTTTACATCAGATTTATTCATAAAATATGCCGTTGGATTCGTCTCTTCGAGACCTATCCATAAAAGTCAATCTTAACAAAAATCATTGACTCCAAAAACTCCTTCATTTTTGGTCAAACATAGAAATAATGCTTTGTTGAGTCAAAATATGGTTTTTAAAAATACTTTTATAATAGAATAACTTTTAGACCATGTTTTGGGGCGTTACAGGTGGTAGGTACACCATTTTTCCGTCCAGACCCTATTTCGTTGATCTCCCTTCTCGTCCCGTATTTGGTGTACTATCCCATCGTAAGTGACCTTTGGCCTGGAACCTCCCGCCTGCTCGTCCTTCCTTGCATTCTCTGATTTGGCTTTTGTGTAGCCTTCTCCCAGTTCTCTTTTTGCTCTTGTTCAGGACTTCCGCCTCGGCATACTCCCATGCCGTATTGTAGGCTTCCTGATAAGATGAAGGCGGCCTTCTACAGAACTCAGTGTAGAGGTCCCCTGACCGAAAGGCATTCATCAGCAGAGACATGGCCATCTTATCATCCATCTCTTCTAGCTTATCGACCTCATCTCTCCATCGGGTTAGGAATTGAGTCAAGGACTCCTTCTCCCTCTGCCCTACCGTTTTAAGATAGGTGAACTTTTTCTTTTTGATGCAATTATCCTGGTACTTCTTGCGGAAGATCTCAGCAAGTTTCTCGAAGGACCGGATTTTACCATGAGGAAGGCTATTAAACCATTCCACTGGCCTCCCTCTCAAGGATGAGAAGAAGAGTAAACACTCCTCAGCATCAGTACACCCGGCCATTTGTGTTGCATTGTGGAAAGTGTCGAGGTGGACGTTTGGATCCTTCTTTCCAGTGAATTTCTCCACGTCCAACTTGAACTTCCGCCTCAGCTTTTGTGCATGTACCCTAGCCGAGAAGGGTGATTTCGCCAGGGTATGCTTCTTCGCTCCCGCCTTCTCTTCTACTTTTTCCTCTAGGGCGCCTAGCTTTCTCGCTACGCTCCCTATCTTGTCCAGGTTATCCTCATCATATCAGAGCCTGGTGTACGCCGACGCCCTTGGTTGACTTTCGGCCTCTTCCTCGTCTAGGTGAATCGTCTCAGATTCCCTAGAACGACGTGATAAGGCGGGACGACTGCCGCCAAGTCTTTCCATCGCACTAGTCCGACCCATCTCACGACCAAGACGTAGCTTGGCAGACTTGCGCGGTCCATCCTCTTTGTCCCCCAGGCATTTGAACGTTGAATCTTG